TTTTTTTTTTATTTTTTTTTTTTTTTTTTTTTTTTTTTTTTTTTTTTTTTTTTTTTTTTTTTTTTTTTTTTTTTTTTTTTTTTTTTTTTTTTTTTAATGGAGAGGAACATATCTGTGGTGTTTATTTCAAAGTTTGGTAGGAGATTGAATTCTGAAGCTTGTGCAGAGAGATACTTCAAGAATAAGTGTCATTCGTTTGTGAAAATTCATTATTCGGAGATGCACGTACGCAGAAATAAATACATCAGTCTAGTCATGCATATTTACCGGAGACATACGTAGATAAATTCATATCAGATGTGCATTTATGTGTATATACATGGCCGTATAAATGATTATTCATTGGATCGAACCATGCACAATTTTAATATTTTTGTTTGTCTTTTTATTTTGCTTCGTTGCAAGAGCCTCTTTGCTTGAATGGGAATATTAGTCAAGTTGAAGGTATAGTGATCATCAAGAAAGGGTTAAACCATGCCAAACATTCTCGTAAATTTCTATATTCATTGCATTGTTTCTGCAAAACTGTGCATGGAGTTTATTTTCCTTTCATGTTCTGCTTTCAAGTCCTCTTTGTAAGATTCCTTTCATTGGGTATTTATACTCTTGGTCTCTTCTTAATAGTCTAATTAGTCTAAAATGTACTTGATATACACTGGATATTTTTCAAAAATTCGCATTATGGTTCAGTGAAATATCGGTGTTTGAAGTTAACGTGTATTGTGGGTAATGGCACAGTGCATATTATTCATAAACTGAGTGCCACTTCGTAGGTGGTGCATCATTGTGGGTAATGGCACAGTGCATATTATTCTTAAACTTAGTGCCACTTCGTAGGTGGTGCATCATTGTGGGTAATGGCACAGTGCATATTAGTTAGTGCCACTCGTAGGTGGTGCATCATTGTGGGTAATGGCACAGTGCATATTATTCGTGGTAATCATTGTGGGTAATGGCACAGTGCATATTATTCATAAACAGTGCCACTTCGTAGGTGGTGCATCATTGTGGGTAATGGCACAGTGCATATTATTCATAAACTTAGTGCCACTTTGTGCATCAGGGTGTTGAACAGATTGCGAGCGAGTGGGGCCAAGAGCTCTCCCTCGAAGGGTGCCAAGGTCAGACTCAGAACCAAAGAGGCTTCAGTCCTCTAAGAGAGCAAGCTGCCCAAGGGTCATAATGGAAGTAGTACCGGTTTGATAGTGATAGTAGTGACGATTACTAAAACATACGAAGGGATTTATTAGAGGCAACTCAAAATCAGAAAATGGAAGATAGTGAAGACACTGTCACAGAAATCAGAAAACGGAAGATAGTGAAGACACTTTCACAGAAATCAGAAAATGGAAGATAGTGAAGACACTCTCACAGAAATCAGAAAATGGAAGATAGTGAAGACACTTTCACAGAAATCAGAAATGAAGATAGTGAAGACACTCTCACAGAAATCAGAAAATGGAAGATAGTGAAGACACTCTCACAGAAATCAGAAAATGGAAGATAGTGAAGACACTTTCACAGAAATCAGAAAATGGAAGAAAATGGAAGATAGTGAAGCTACTTTCACAGAAATCAGAAAATGGAAATTAGTGAAGACACTTTCACAGAAATCAGAAAATGGAAGATAGTGAAGACACTTTCACAGAAATCAGAAAATGGAAGATAGTGAAGATTCACAGAAATCAGAAAATCACAGAAATCAGAAATTTGAAGACACTGAAGAATCAGAAAATGGAAGATAGTGAAGACACTTTCACAGAAATCAGAAAATGGAAGATAGTGAAGATTCACAGAAATCAGAAAATGGAAGATAGTGAAGATTCACAGAAATCAGAAAATGGAAGATAGTGAAGACACAGAAATCAGAAAATGGAAGATAGTTTCACAGAAATCAGAAAAGATAGTGAAGATTCACAGGAAATCAGAAAATGAAGATAGTGAAGACACTTTCACAGAAATCAGAAAATGGAAGATAGTGAAGACACTCTCACAGAAATCAGAAAATGGAAGATAGTGAAGATTCACAGAATCAGAAAATTATGAAGACACTTCACAGAAATCAGAAAATGGAAGATAGTGAAGACACTTTCACAGAAATCAGAAAATGGAAGATAGTGAAGACTTCACAGAAATCAGAAAATGGAAGATAGTGAAGACACTTTCACAGAAATCAGAAAATGGAAGATAGTGAAGATTCACAGAAATCAGAAAATGGAAGATAGTGAAGACACTCACACTTCACAGAAATCAGAAAATGGAAGATAGTGAAGACACTGTCACAGAAATCAGAAAATGGAAGATAGTGAAGACACTGTCACAGAAATCAGAAAATGGAAGATAGTGAAGATTCACAGAAATCAGAAAATGGAAGATAGTGAAGATTCACAGAAATCAGAAAATGGAAGATAGTGAAGACACTGTCACAGAAATCAGAAAATGGAAGATAGTGAAGACACTTTCACAGAAATCAGAAAATGGATAGTGAAGATAGAAAAAAGATTGAAGATTCACAGAATCAGAAGCACTCTCACAGAAACGAGGAGGGAATTATTAGTCTGCTCAAGGTAGATCCGACAGCTTTTCGGTCCGCACCCTCCTTCCTGTGGGCGAGGGGCGGCAGGGGCGTTCTCATCATTTTTATGGCGTTCGGTAATTCTAAAGAGAAAAATGGCAATTCTCCCAGTTTTCAGTCGTGACTTAAGCATCAGGGAATTCGATATAATTCGCCCCCAAATAGCGACAAAAACGCTTGTTATTTGGTCTCATGAACAGAAAAGCAGTTTTCTGCACGCATGCAGATAGACGCCACAGGTGCGTATGGCGGCCTCGAGCACGAAATACTCTTTTTCTCGTATATATATGTATATATATATATATATATATATATATATATATATATATATATATATATATATATATATATATATATATATATATATATATATATATATTATATATATAAATTATTATTATTATTTTTTTTTTTCATTTTTTCTTTTTTCTTTTTTCTTTCTTTTTTTCTTTTTTTTTCTGAAAGTCTAGTCGCTCAGAAGTCGTTCGTTCCCAATGGCCCCAGCGTCGGTCTGCGTGGGGGGGGGGGGAGATGTGGCTAATTGAACGTTCCAGAATTGAACATCGAAGCCTCTTAGGAAGAAACACACCTGTAAGAGGCTTCACTCGGCCGTGGCTGTCGCTCCTCTTTAGGATCTGCGAGAGGAGGAAGGAGGTGGGAATTAGCCCCGGCGAAATGAGGGGTCTTTGCGATGGTTAGTCTTTCTTTGTTTGGAGTCTTTGTTGGGGGAGTAGTCCTTGGGGAGTCTTTGAGTCTTTGGGAGTCTTTGTTGGGAGTCTTGTTGGGAGTCTTTGTTGGGAGTCTTTCTTCTTTGTTGGGAGTCTTTGTTGGGAGTCTTTGTTGGGGGAGTCTTTGTTGGAGTCTTTGTTGGGAGTCTTTGTTGGGGGGGTCTTTGTTTGGAGTCTTTGTTGGGAGTCTTTGTGAGAGTCTTGTTGGAGTCTTTGGGGGAGTCTTTGTTTGGAGTCTTTGTTGGGGAGTCTTTGTTGGGGGAGTCTTTGTTGTTTTGTGGTCTTTGTTGGGGTCTTTGTTTGGAGTCTTTGTTGGGAGTCTTTGTTGGGGGGAGTCTTTGTTGGGGTCTTTGAGTCTTTGTTGTCTTTGTTAGTTTTGTTGGGAGTCTTTGTTGGAGTCGTTGTGGGTCTTTGGGGAGTCTTTGTTGGAGTCTTTGTTGGGAGTCTTTGTTGGAGTCTTTGTTGGGCTCGTTGTTGGGAGTCTTTGCTTGGGAGTCTTTGTTGGAGTCTTTTTTGGGAGTCTTTTGTTGGGAGTCTTTGTTGGGAGTCTTTGTTGGGAGTCTTTGTTGTTGGGAGTCTTTGTTGGGAGTCTTTGTTTGGGAGTCTTGTTGCTGTCTTTGTTGGAGTCGTTGTTGGGAGTCTTTGTTAGGAGTTTTTGGGGAGTCTGTTGGAGTCTTTTGTTGTTGGGAAGTCTTTGTTGGGAGTCGTTTAGTCTTTGTTGAGTCTTTGTTGGGAGTCTTTGTTGGGAGTCTTTTTGTTGGGAGTCTTTGTTGGGAGGTCTGTTTTGTTGGAGTCTTCTTTGTTGGGAGTCTTTGTTGAAGTCTGTCTTTGTTGGGAGTCTGTCTTTGTTGGGAGTCTGTCTTTGTTGGGAGTCTTTGTTGGGAGTCTTTTTTGGGAGTCTGTCTTTGTTGGGAGTCTTGGTTGGGAGTCTTCTGGGAGTCTTTGTTGGGAGTCTTTGTTGGGGAGTCTTTGTTTGGGAGTCTTTGTTGTTGGAAGTCTTTGTTGGGAGTCTTTGTTTGGGAGTCTTTGTTGGGAGTCTTTGTTGTTGGAAGTCTTTGTTGGGAGTCTTTGGGAGTCTTTGTTGGGAGTCTGTCTTTGTTGGGAGTCTGTCTTTGTTGGGAGTCTGTCTTTGTTGGGAGGTCTTGTTGGGTCAGTCTTGTGTTTGGGAGTCTGTCTTTGTTGGGAGTCTTTGTTGGGAGTCTGTCTTTGTTGGGAGAGTCTTGTTGGGAGTCTGTCTTTGTTGGGAGTCTTCTAGTCTTTGGGGAGTCTTTGTTGGGAGTCTCTTTGTCCTGTTGGGAGTCTTTGTTTGTTAGTCTTTGTTGGGAGTCTTTGTCGGGAGTCTTCGTCGGGAGTCTTTGTTGTTGGGAGTCTTTGTTGGGAGTCTGTCTTTGTTGGAAGTCTTGGGAGTCTTTTGTTGGAGTCGTCTTTGTTGGGAGTCTTTGTTGTCGGGAGTCTTTGTTGGAAGTCTTTGTTGGGAGTATTTGTTGGGAGTCTGTCTTTGTTGGGTCTTTGTTTGGGACTGTCCTTCGGGAGTCTGTCTTTGTTGGGAGTCTTCGTTAGGAGTCTTTGTTGGGAGCCTTCGTTAGGAGTCTTTGTCGTGCAGTCTTTGTGGGAGTCTTCGTTGGAGTCTTTGTAGGAATCTGTCTTTGTTGGGAAGTCTTTGTTGTTGGAGTCTTTGTTGGGAGTCTTTGTCGGGAGTAGTCTTTGTCGGGAAGTCTTTTCGTTGGAGTCCTTTGGTGGGTCTTTGTGTCTTTGTCTTTGTCGGGAGTCTTTGTTGGGAGGTAGTTTGTTGGGATCTTTGTCGAGTCTTTGTTGGGAGTCTTTGTTGGGAGTCTTTGTTGGAGTCTTGTGTTCTTTGTTCGGAGTCTTTGTTGGGAGTCTTTGGGGAGTCCTTGTTGGAGTCTTTGTTGGTAGTCTTTGTTGGGAGTCTTGTCGGGAGTCTTCGTCGAGTCTTTGTTGTTTGGGAGTCTTTGTTGGGAGTCTGTAAGTCTTTGTTGGAGGGTCTTTGTTGGGAGTCTTTGTTGGGAGTCTTTGTTGGGAGTCTTTGTTGTCGGGAGTCTTTGTTGGAAGTTTTGGGAGTATTTGTTGGGAGTCTGTCTTTGTTGGGTCTTTGTTGGGAGTCTTTGTCGGGAGTCTGTCTTTGTTGGGAGTCTTCGTTAGGAGTCTTTGTTGGGAGCCTTCGTTAGGAGTCTTTGTCGGAGTCTTTTTGGGAGTCTCTTGGGAGTCTTTCGGGAGTCTTTGTTGGGAGTCTTTGTGTTTGTCTTTGTTGGGAGTCTTTGTTGGGAGTCTTTGTCGGGAGTCTTTGTCGGGAGTCTTTGTTGGGAGTCTTTGTTGGGAGTCTTTGTCGGGAGTCTTTGTCGGGGAGTCTTCGGAGTCTTTGGGAGTCAAAGTCTTGGTCGGGAGTCTTGGTCGGGAGTCTTCGTCGGGTGAGGGCACGGGAGCGAGGGGAGGCCAAGGGCTATTTAGGAGAGGGAGTCTTAGTTCGGAAATTGTTATGCGATTTATCTCCGAGGTGACCTTCATCCTTCGCCAAAAAAAAAAGATAAAGTATAAAATCGAATGAAAATGTGATTATGATATGGAAAGTTCTGTTGTATATTGACATGCTGTGAGATTTTTTTTTTTTTTTATCTTCACAAACGAGAAGGTCAAAGAGAAAGCCATTTTCTTTAAAGAAAAAAAAAAGTATATTCTCCCAGGACACTGAGCCATGTCCATGTACTTTTTGTCTTTTTTTATCATATTATTTTAGCAGCTAATCTACGAGAATCAATTAGAATAAACTACATGTTGTTGACGAAAGAGAATAAATAAGAATAAACTACATGTTGTTGACGAAAGAGAATAAATAAGAATAAACTACATGTTGTTACAGTACGACGTTGTTGACGAATAAAATTAGAATAAACTACATGTGTTGACGAAAGAGAATGAATAAATACATGTTGTTGACGAAAGAGAATAAATAAGAATAAACTACATGTTGTTGACGAAAGAGAATAAATAAGAATAAACTACATGTTGTTGACGAAAGAGAATAAATAAGAACAAACTACATGTTGTTGACGAACGAGAATAAATTAGAATAAACTACATGTTGTTGACGAACGAGAATAAATTAGAATAAACTACATGTTGTTTGACGAACGAGAATAAATTAGAATAAACTACATGTTGTTTGACGAACGAGAATAAATTAGAATAAACTACATGTTGTTGACGAAAGAGAATAAATAAGAATAAACTACATGTTGTTGACGAAAGAGAATAAATAAGAATAAACTACATGTTGTTGACGAAAGAGAATAAATAAGAATAAACTACATGTTGTTGACGAACGAGAATAAATTAGAATAAACTACATGTTGTTGACGAACGAGAATAAATTAGAATAAACTACATGTTGTTGACGAACGAGAATAAATTAGAAATAAACTACATGTGTTGACGAACGAGAATAAATTAGAATAGTTGTTGACGAGAGGCTACATGTTGTTGACGAAGATAACATTATACGAAGATTTTATATCGTAGAGCGAATTCGGCTTGAAAATTCATTCCAGGGAATTTGTTTCGATCCCATCTCCATTTCGCTTTTTTTTTTGTCCCTGAACAAACCTGTCGAAGGAACCAGAAAGCGACCTCCGTAAAATTTAAGGATTATGCCCTCTCCTCCCCTCCCCCCCTCCTCCCCCAATCCTATCCCCATTTCTCGAGCGATCCATCACAACTCCTTCTGCAAATATCCTATTACGAGTGTCCCTTTTTCTCTCTCTCTCTTTTTTTCTCTTCTTTCCTCTTTTCTTGTTTCTCTCGTTCTCCTATTTGTCTTTTTTTATGCGATTCCTCTCTCTCTCTGTCTGTCTGTCTGTCTGTCTCTCTCTCTCTCTCTCTCTCTCTCTCTCTCTCTCTTCTCTCTCTCTCTCTCTCTGGCTCTCTCTCTCTCTCTCTCTCTCTCTCTCTCTCTCTCTCTCTCTCTCTCTCTCTCTCTCTCCACATGCATGTTTGCCTATGCCTCTATTATTCCTCTTTATCTCATTCTTTCTATCCCTCCTCTTTTCTGTCTCCCTTCTCCTTCTCCCCCCCCCCTCCCGCTCCCCCCGCTCCCCCTTCTCCAGCCTGCCTTTATCACTGCATAATCTTCCTACCATTACTTATATTGGCCCGACCTGCACGAGTCACGAAGCCAGTTCTCCG